CAACCCAGAAAATCCTGGAATCAGCTAACTGAATCCTCACCTCAACTCTTTATATTCTTCTCTAGAAAATACGATGAGAATTGGAAGAGCTGTTCAAATGACCTCACCTCAACCTGCAGTTATTTTTTGTCACCCTGCTCTAGAAGGTTTGCCCATGATGCCCACAACAATCAGTATTACCTACAAATTGGACCTCATCTGTTCGACGCTGTTAAATTCACAATAGGTCTCAGCAGAATTATCGATTCCCTTCTCCCTGTGATGGTACCCAACATGTCGCAGCAGTTCTTTTACAATCCTCAGACATGATATCATCAAAGCTGCTGACTCTGACAAAATTTGGCTAACTTAATCTACCATCTATAAAAGCATCAAGCAGCCAACCTTCGTGGAAATTGTATCCCTAAGCCATGAAATACTTTCCTAATTTCAGATTAGTCTGGAAACACCTGACTAACTGGATGTCCACTATCATAGAATCGGTAATGCCTTTGACCAACGCGGACAATCGGTGGTACAATCTGGTATACCTCCCAGATATCCTAACCATATCGAAGAGATGGGCAAAAAGCAATAAACAAACAATTTGAATAAAATTTTATTTCCTTACATGAGTTCACATAGATTTAAAATGTTCTAAAACACCACTACAAATGAGAGCTCTATATAAAGCATGTCTGCTATGTTTCATGACTTTATCACTACCGTGCTGCAGCTAGAACAACTACCTGTTTGAACAAATATTGTTTGTAATTAGTTTATTAATCTTGACAATTTTTGGCATTATTGAATTTTATAATATTAATATACCTGTGTGATAAGTTATTCATTTGGTTGAGTCAATTCAATGAGTTGTACAGAGAAGAATTTTAAGATATGATTTGGTTTTTGAAGAGTGAAATGAACCGTCGAATATCGACTGTTCCATGAAGGCAAACTGAAACAATTCAAAATCACGTATTGGTTTTCAAAAAAGAAAAGAAATGTCTAAAATACCCTCTCTTCCCTCTAAATTCAGAAGTCGAACTGAATATAAATGTGCATACCCATGTGGTGAAATCAGAACAAATATACTTATATACTGTCTACCTAGCAGGTAAAACCTTAAAAATCAAAAATATATTTTTTACCATTACAATGGTAGATGGTAGTTTTCAGCTAAAGTTTTAAGTAATTTTATCTATTTTTTAGTTTTTTTGGTATAATTTAGATATCGATATTTTTCATTTTAATCTAAAAACGTTTAAACTATTATAAATGATTTTGTATAATTAGGAAGAGAGATAAAACCTTTATATACTTTAATATGAAAAAATTTCGCTCCTATATAACATTTATGCAGAGTAATTAACTCTGAGAATATTCAGATGCAATACATGTTAGTTTAATATTCTTACAGTTATATTTCAAATATAACCGAAAACAATACTATTTGTAGAACGGGTTAGCGTTCTAACAATATAAAATAATATAATGCGAGAGAGAATGCGCGCTATCGATAATTATAAAAAATCGAACTTCCACATAGAAATTGAGAGTAAATTTGATCAATAATATGTTCTGAAAACAAATATCTCTAAATATCTGTATTACCGTGAACTTTAAGGAACTTACAAAGCTCTGCAGATATTTTCGAGCAAGCGAACATCTTGCAAGTGGTGCCTCAGCACAATTATTCGAGGAATATTAAGTCAAAATAGAGACTATGTTTGCTTGTCTCAAAACTTCGGATTAAGCTGATATCCTAGAAGACGATTCCTCAAAATAGTAATAAAGAAATATAATAGCCTCCTTTGACGAAGAAGCGTTGGCCTCCTGCTGGCCCACCTCATCAGGCCATCACCACACAAGATAAGGCTACACTGAGTCAGCCATCACTATCCAAAAAACAGAGTCTGAGTCGGAGTGTCTGAAAAAAATCTCTCGAAAACGCCAAAGGAAATCAGCCGCAGGGACCTTTCACCAGATACTCTATCTGGGATTCTTCATATGTTTACACCAGTGGATTACATTAAGGCCTTAGGGCAAAAAATAGGAAAAGGCTGCGTGGTGCAGCTTAAAGAGGTTCATAGCCAGGTCCTAGTTGGCTTGAAGTGGTTCTTAGATGGAACAGTCATCGAATAAGGACTGTTGAATCTTCCTCAAAGCCTTGCCCTAACAAAATAAGATTGAAGAAATCACCATCAGAGGCTTGTCATATGTCATTGACCGACGCGGACCCTTAATCATCAGCGTGATCTTACTCAAAATAAAGTCTGTGGACATAATATTTTAAGAAACATTCTGAAAAAATAAATAAGTGATAAGGCAGAATATTCTGAAATGTGCTCATTTTTAGATGGAAATCAACACATTTTTCTAATAGGATAAAATTATTTCAAGGGCTTAGATAATTTTCGGAAACTCCAATATATAACAATAGAATTTGTTTCAAACAATTATAAAAGACCTATAAATACACTCAGCCGGCCAATTTCTCGAATGCAAACATTGAGAAGCCAGGTTAGTTGAACGCCATTATGGAGCAAATCAAATATATGCCTATCAAGGATCAACGCTGGAATTGTGCAAATATTATAACAAATATGACTTGAATATTTATTTCAATTAGAAACTGTTTGAATAGTTGATATAAATGAAGACTAAAAAAATGAAGAGAAAATTGAAACATTTTGAAATTTTTCGTCAACGATTTTTAAATAATTTTAAAATATCTTAGCAATACAAGATCATTTGAAACCAAAACCAAATATCTGAAATAGACAATTTGGTGAAACAAATTTGTTAACTGTTAGCTCTATTTTAGTACATCTGACATCAGCCCAGAGATGTCGAATTATCAATTTATTCTATAATATCTCAACTTGGGAATATTAATGTGTAATTATAAAAAGACGGAGAATTTTTAATCGGTTATAAAATTAAAATTTCTAGAAACATTTGTAAGTGATAATTTGAAGGAGAAATTGTTGAAGAAATCAAACGAGACCATGTCCAACAAAAATATATGTATAATAAAGATATAAGGTGAACATCACAATCAATTTAAACAATTGCAAATTTATAGAGCCCATACATCTATAAGTGAAAATATAATAGAAAAAAATGATAATTTAAAAGGTCAGGTGTTGATATTAAAAACAAAAAGAAGCGCCATCTATTGGAAAAGAGATCAACTAACGTTGATTCAGCCTAAACTCTTCCATCTAAAATGCACATGTGTTACTGATCAGATATGCCTTCTTCGTTTTTTTTATATATCTATATGGTAATTTGAACCAATAACCCCATATTGTATATAACTTATAACAAGATTTTCATGTTGTATAATAGAAAACACATCTGTAAATGGTTATATGCATGATTGACATGTGTCATTACATCATCATATGTAATGTACTTTGTACAAAATGAAGATAAATAAATGAAACTCTGTAATAGATTAAGAGTTGAGCTGAAGCAAGAGATAGAAGTCAGAAACGTCGAAAATCGAGATAGACGCAAGTCACAAAACAATATCTAAAGATAGATTGGAAACTGTCCAGACGGCGCCAGTAGAATTCACCAGACGATCCTCGCCCCTGGACGCTTCTGTTGAAATGCAACACCCCCTTTCTCGGAAAATAAATAAAAAGGCCCCCTGTCTTTTTAGCCAAAAATACAGTCACTTGGCAATTACTTCACCATCTGCGTTCCCTCGTCGGTTGTACCCCAGGTCCACCTCATCGACCATGTAGCCCAGTAAGAACTCTTCTATCTCCATCTTTCGCTCCTAGCTCAACTTTTATCTGTTCACGGAACTTTCTTAGTGCAACTGTGTTTTTCGTTTTTTGTGTGGACATTCCCAAGCTTTCCACTCTGCCTCTACTACGACTGCCTGTACTTTGTGAGAACTATAAAAGGTCTTCCAAGGTGCAGAGAGGGTACTGGAAAACTCCCCATCCTGACTGTTCCTCTCGGTCAACACATGATTCTACAAGAGGCAACAGAACCTCATCACATCTATATATTCATTAAATACATTATAAATCCTGTAAAATTGACGCATGATTTATCTTAAATTTATTTTCTAAGCAATTTTCTATCTAAACTTCTGTGTGTATTGAAATACCAGTCCATTTCTAAAATTTATTACATTTATCCATTTCCTAAAGAATTTTAATTGTCGATTTTAAATGTAGTGTGTTTTTCGATATCTGAGAGTATTATATTTATATATATCTGAATATATGGTATACATCAAAAACTGAAATATTTGTATATATGTATTTTTGGGAAATTATTGTACATATATTTTCATAAAATATGTTTGAATGCATCTATTTATTAAATTATTGGTCTTTATATTACAACTAGAAGAATGACCCGGCTTCACCCGAGAAATCCCCCGAGTGAAGTATCCTTCATACTGAAAGTACATCAATAATAAATAGTAGAAGTGCCATAGAATAGCAATACAGAAGAAACACATAAACTACAGGAAAAAAGTGTGTAATGGCAAAATTGTTTTATATTAGTGCTTAGGTATTTGATTTAATTATTTTTTGCAATCCATTTAGTTGTTTCAAAATTAATATAGTTTAAATAGACGGCAGCTTTTCCACCAAACCCCCATTAACCTTTGAAATAGCCTGAGTAGAGTGACTGACTGTAAAGAATCCTGATTGCGATGCCCATCTTCTCAGTAAGAATAAAAAAAAAAGGTTTATAAAAAAAATTAATCCAAAATACTGGCATGTAAATATTTTTCTGTAAAAAAAATAAAAGAGCAATATGGAAATATTAGGCAAACATATGTGTTCGCTAATGATTGCGACTGCATTTTAAAACGATTTTTAAAAAGAGATTTAACCAAATAAAGGCCAGAACAAAATTAATAAAAAATATGAAATCTATTATTTACATACATTCACAAAAGCAAAAAATGACAGAATTGATGACTCTGATACTTGTATATTTTAATAATATAAATGATTTTTAAAAAATTGTAAAAAAAAAAATGCATCGGCGGGGAATCGAACAATGCGCGTGGCAGGCGAGCATTCTAACCACTGAACCACCGATGCTTATAAGAAATGACCATATTTGGGTATTTATTCCATTCACAAAAGCAAACGATGACAGGAATTGATTGTTGATTGATTACTCTGATACTTGTATATTTTAATATTTCTGAGAGAAAGAGAGAGCATTTTAATTATATATTTCTAAAAGTATTGTATATATGCATTATCTAATGATTTAAGTATGGATTGCTCTATTTACAGCATTATATATATATAACTATTGGATTTGTTTTTTTCTGAAAGCATAGTACTTATCTAATTTTGTGAAAGTATTTTTACTACAAAAAAATGTATATATGTATTAGTGAAAGTATTATATATTTGCCTATTATTGAGAATTTTTTTGTTAGCTTTTTCTGAAATCTGAAATAATTGTTTTTATCTATTTCTGAAAATATATATTTGTCTATTTATAAAAATATAGAGTAATTATCTATTTATGAAAGATGTCTGTGTCCTATATCTTGAAATATTGTATATTACTCAAACAAATATATTTCTCTTAAATTATTGTATGTATCTATTTATGAGTATGTTATTGCATATATCTATTTCTGAAATATTGTATTTGTCTCTTTCCGAAAGTATTGTATTTTTATATATTGATGTACGCATTGTTTTTGTGTCTATATATGAAAATATTGTATATATATATCCCCTTCCCCACCAAAACAATTGTTTTTATAATTTCTGAAGACATAGTATGCATCTATTTGCTATGATATGATAGGTTTAATATATGTACATATTTCTGAAATATTGTATTTATCTGTTCCAGAAAGTAATGTATCTATAAAAATATTGATAGATGTGTGGGCGGCATGGAATTCTAGGCGGAGTCAGATAACAAATTATTTATTGTAAATAAACTTTTAATTACATTTATTTAATACAAATTATCAGAAGGGGTTGCATTGTTGTATACTACATGTTGAAGTCATTTTTTGTATATGTGTGTGTGGTCAAATATCATTTCTAGATTATATAATGTTAGACATATGTGTTTGATATATTATGGATAAATATTTACATTTTATATGATTTATATTTATATTTAGAATGATGTATAATTATTTTATTATATTGATATGACAACAATTAATATGATATTAATGTTAATTCATATAATTTTAATAAAGTATATTTTATAAGCATTTTATATTTATAAGATGAATAATTTAATATTCGAATTGAATAGTTATTAAACAAATTAAAACTTATAATGAAAATATGAAAAGTTAATATTTGGGAGCCGCTACAGATGTATGTATGGTTTTATGTTATCTATATATGAAAATATTGAATATATCCTAAACATTTTTTTTTATTTATTCATGAATTGTATGTATCTATTTGTTATGATATGATTGCATTGTATATACCTATTTCTGAAATATTGTATTCATGTGTGTGTCTATTTCTAGAAGTAGTACAATTTTATATATTGTATTTTTGAAACAATTGTAATTTTATTTATTTTGAAGGTTTTGGTTGTATATATCTTATCCTAAGTGTGTTAATTTTTATCTATTCTTTCAACAAAATTTTTGAAAGTATTGTTTGTATTTATATCCTCTCCTGTGTGCATGTGTGAAATAATTGTATTTATCTATTTCTGAAAGTGTATTAAATGTATGTATTCATTTTTAAGATTTATATTAAATGAATATATATGTATATATGAACCAATATATTCAATGCTTAATTTATTAAATTTGTAAATAAACATGGCTTTTAGAAAATCAAATTTAGTTTTTTTTTTAATATACAAGCCAATAGCTTTTTCTTTTTCTTCCTGTTTATTTATATCATTATTTAAAATACCATTAAAGATAGGTAGGTGTTAGTACAAAATGTCTCAATAAAGGTTATGTATGTGTATACAAATTTTGTGATCTAATTTTCAAATACTGTCAGAGACAACATAGAAACCTGAAAATATGCAACATTCTCTATCTAATAACGATGAAAGTCAATGAAATTTCAAAATTTTAGGTGAATAGAAACTTTGTTAAATAGAGAGAAAATGCAGAATTCTAAAAAACAAAATTAAAAACAGAAGATTATGATTAAATTATAATAAAAGGTTGATGAAAATAGGTGCACCAAATATATGGAAACTTGCTAAAGAAAGGTAAAAATATTATAATATGCTAAAAAAATACAAGAATACTGTGGTCTTGATGAGTGAGCAAACAAGTTATTTTATAAATAACTTAGTCCAATACAGATTCTTGAATCAGTATCAAAGGTATCAGTATAAAACAGAAGAGTGAAGATTCATAAAATACAAAAAGTAAATTCTGTATTTCATCATATTAATAGTCAGTTCTCTATATTTCAACCTATAAATTCAGCTACTTAATTTGAGAATAAACACATTCAGGAATTTGATGCAAGTGAAAAAATATATAAATATTTACAAAAAAAAAAAATGTTCTGTTGATTTTTGATTATCTTGAGAAATATGCAATGTAAATATTTGCTGGTGTTTTTTTTAGTACTACATGATATTGGTAATGAAGTCGTGGCAAAAATCTTCAAAGTATAATAATAAAAATAGTTTTTATCAGTAATTGCTTTAATTAAACTAAAGGTATATACAAAAAAAAACAATAATTTGATAAAGGTATTGCCTGGCTTAAGGCGTAAGAATAAAAAAAATGAAAAACTTATTAACATAATTTACAAACGGTTTGAGCCGGCCAACAGGAAACAACAACAAGTGGTTATATAAACAGAAAGCCGACCTGTTGCGGTCGACTTAACAGAATATTAGAATCTATGAAATATATTTAAAATAAAATAACAATATTTAAAAAATACCTTTATATAACATATATATCCAATCAAAATGTCAAAACTTGGGATATAACAAGTTTTAAAAGAGTTAAAAATATTTCATCTTTAAAACTCTCTTTAATGAACCATTTCCTCAATGATGCGGTTTTTTCCACTTTTATAGTATTATTTTAACAGAAGCCTTTTGAAATGTTAATTATAGAGTAGGTTATTTTTCAAAGTAGATCAGAATTGCAATCATCATTTTTTGTAACGATGATCAGTGGAAGACGAAGTGAACAAGCTTGTTTTGGAATTAGTTTCTGAACAAGAAACAGTTTGGACACTCCTCTTGCCAGATAATCTTCCGATAACCTATAGGAAGAATAATCAGAGAATTATTTGGTGATCCTCTGATGAGCTTTTTTGTTGGAAAAGAAAGATTTGAGAGGAGATACTCTTGCGACAAAAACGATATACTTATCAACACCGATAGAGTAAAGTGAGTTGAATTGATGATTTTTGTACAGATAATTCCGAAATAGGAATGTTCCATTAGAATCCAGTAGGTTAGTCAGATTTTGATTGCGACAAGTTCCAATTTTACACCCAACAACTCAAAGATGATATTCACAAGAATAGGATACGATGAGGTAATACCATCTCAGGGTTCGAAATCCAAACTTTTAAATAACTTTAATATGTTACTTCAAGTGGTATAGTCTTCCACATTCTGTTCTTTTAACATATCCAAGTGTAAACGTAGGCTGATCTAAAGGGTGAAAGTAAAAACAGTCGTCTCTCCATAATTTGAAACTCAAAGGAATAGAGAAATTTTTCAATTTATCAAGAGTTCAAAATAATAAGAGTTTAAACAAATAAGAGGGAAAGAGGGAAAAATCTGTTAAACAAGAGTTTGATCAAAATTAGGGATTTTGAGGGCCATTCAAAATAGCTATGGAGAATTCAATTACTACGAAGATATGCTAAGAAATAAAAAAACTATTATTCTGAATTAAGAGTTTATTTTTTATTTTTAAAGAGGCCTTTCTGAAATCTGAAGTAATTGAATGTAAAGTGTCTTAATAAGACAAAATGTGGAGAGAGGAATTCATGGCTATTCAATATAAGATATTGCATATTCCAACTTTACTTCTTTACATAGCAAGTATTTATGCAAATAACAATATTTTCTCTATCCTCACAGCTACTGTCTAAAATTAACTGCAACAGATTAGCTACTATAAAATCGTTCATATTGATAAAATACTATTTTTCCCCATCAGATTCAACTAATATAAGATAGAGTAATATAAAATATAGTATAATATGAATTCCAGTCGAAAATCTCATCATTTCTATTTTAGGTAATTTACTATGATAATTAGCAGTTATTCCTTTTCTCCCAAGAAGATTATCAATTCTAATAATTTGGTAATTTCTTAGATTTAGAGTTTTCGAATATTTCAAAAGAATGAGATTAATGCGAAATCAATTTAGTTATATAGTAAAAAATACGGTTATTCTTCTTTATATACTATTATTCCATTAGCATTCCAATAAAGAGGAGAAAACCTCTTTAAATTGCATTCAGAATCAAAATTTCTTTTAATCTTTATATTAAAAATTTAAACTTCATTGTTCATATTTCATTTCGTTTAAAATTTCGATTCGCTGCAGGTGTTAAGCGTGTTTTTAATATCATATCTTCACGGAATTCCAACAAGAAAACATAATATAATTGATTTTTATTTGAAAATCATTACAGTGGATCGCTGAAACTTCAGGAATAAATAAAAAAGAAAGATTTAAATGAATCCATAATAGTATTTTGTTTACTAATTTTACGAATTAACTGTTCTAAAAATATCGCAATTCACAAAGGTAATTTCCAATATAAGATGCGTGTTTTGTGAATATTCACAAAAATCAATATTTCACGATCACCTATATCATTATAAACCATTTTATAGTGATTAGTTTGTTGAATATCGTAAATGTAGAGGCTGCCTGGCAGGCATTCATATTTCTTGAAAATAAAGATACTTCGGTCAGTAAATCTTTTTATTACCTCGACATTTCGACAAAAATCGTTTGTCCTCGTCAGGAGCAAACAAAAATCAAAACATTTGGCAAGGAAAAACTATTACCTCGACTGTAGCTGTAGGGGAGAGAAAATATAAATATAGGGATTTATATGTATTCTTGTCTATCTAAAA